TTTTTTTTTTTTTTTTAACTCATAGTGATCTTGTAAGACAGAGAACAACTGCCCAGTATGGTTCCCAAGGTTGTAAATCTTTATGGAAGACGACTGACACATCTCCCTCCCACAGAGCAGCTAGTGAGTTCGAATGTCCTACCTTTTAGTTAGCAGCCAAGGACTTAACAACCGCACCGCCAAGGTTCTTTTTCACAGAACTAAGTCCTCAATATATTCTATGGATCCATCATCTCATCCTGCTTTATTTTTGATCACACTCCTTAAAAATCTGCAATTTCTTTCATTCCACCTCTTTCTTTTCTTCCTTCAAGAAAACCTTTCCTTCAATGAAAATTAAAAATCTCCACTAGCCCCTGAAGCTTCTGTCTTCTCCCAGCTTCACCCTTGCTGTACTGCCCCAGACTACACTTTTCAGGCAGGCCTGAAAACTAGCAGCCTATGGCCTATAATGCCACCTGGTGGCCAGTGTACAGAAACTTTCTTCCCATTGGGATTGTGAACATTAATGTTCATTATCTTACCCTCTTCCGCTGTGCACAACATAACTAATGTCATCTCATGTGAACTCGTTTTCTAAATAATATTTGAAGTTTTTATTATGAAAAGTACTATACGTTATTTTTTTTTAATTTTCTAAAATCACAACAATAAAAATCATCTTTAATCCCAATACCCAGAGGTAGTAGTAAACATGGAGTATAAACCTCTCATCTTTTGCCCTACACCTCTATTTTAAAAAATCAAATCAGAGCTAAGCTGTACATATTGAATTTTTATTTTCACCAAACATATTAAATCATATAGCATTAAATTTTTTTCCTCCACAATTCCTTTGCATGGATATACCACTATATATATATTTTTTACTTTTATTGTTGTGAAAATACACACAAGACATTCACCAACATCAACAACTTCTACATTTACAGCTCAGGACACTGATGACATTTTTCATGTTGTGCCACCATTATTGCTATCCTTTGCCAAAATATTCCACCACCATCAGCACAAACTCAGTGCCCTGCAAACAAAAGCTTCCCATTTCCCCCTGCCTTCTACCCTTGTTGTTGTTGTTGTTGTTGTGTGCCATCGAGTCAGCCCTGACTCATAGCGACCCCTCCTTGGGTTTCCGAGGCAGTATCACTACGGAAGTAGGATTGCCCAACCTTCCTTCCGAGGAGT